CAGGAATCAAACTCATGACCTCAGGCTTGCCAGGCAAGCACTTCCACCACTGAGCTACATCCCGGGCCCTGTCTGATCAGGCTTAATGGTAGCAAGGGAAACTTTGCGGGACCTGGGCACTAATGGACTGGAATTTTCCTTCACCACCCACCCAGTCCCTATTCCTCCCATAGCATCCCACCAACCCGATCTACCCAAAAACCATACAGAGAAGCCACCCTGTGTGTCTGGTGCTATTTCATCCAGCTACAAGCAGGAGCCAGGAGGCTGGCCCCTCCTGGACCTCACTAGGGCCATCTCCCCGGAGGCTGTGTGGGCCTGTGTCTGCACCCACTGTGCCCGCTGCACAGCTCTCTCTGGCTCGGGGTGGGCCATCATGAAAGCTTGAGCTGCACGGATCAAGTCCTCTTCCCGCAGGCCTGGGACAGGCACGGTGGGGATGCCGGCGATCATCATGGCCAAGGTCAGGATGCAGATGTTAGACTGGGAGCCGGCATCCTTCCCCCCTGCTTCAGAGGGCACTGGCAGAACCCCTGGTGACAGCCCACACAGCAGCAGGGGCCCAGGCCTGCTGGGGCCACCCATGTGGGGAGCTCTGCTTCTGGAGCAGCCAGCCTCCCAGCCCAAGCTCTCCGGTTGCCTTGGGAGGCAGACTTTGTGGCAGTATCGATTGTACTCCTTCCTCGGCATTGTCTCCCAGCTAGCACCCCCAGGGCAGCGCCTGGCTTCAGGTACTGCCTGGACACCAGGTACTGCCTGGACACCAGGTACCACCTGCTCAGCTTTCTGGCTCAGAGGGCCTGGTCCACCAGAGGCTACCACCACTGGCTCTGCAGGACTATAGAGGCCAAGGGAGGAACCCGGAGAAGCAGCCCCACCTGCAGAGACAGGAATGAGATGGAATGTTATTTTTGGCCTCTTTGAGGAAGAGGCCCTGAGGGGCAGGGCTTGGTAATAGGAGCAATTAAGACCAGCCCAAGAAGCACTGTCTAGAGATTGGGAACTATGTTACTCATACTCATACCCCCTAGCCCCCAGCACTGAGCAGGTGATAGAGGAATGTTGAATGAATAAGCAAGTGGGTAATTAGTAATTAGTGGGGACTTCTGGAATGCCTTTTCTTGACTCCAAGGCCAGCCCCAAAATGCCCAGCAGAAACTCCACCTCCCCAGAGCCAAGGAAGCAGCTTCACGTGAGAAGTCGCAATGCCCCCTCTGGTTCAAGGAACCCCTCTCACCTTGGCCAGAAGGCAGAAGACCTGGATGAGTTTGTGGAGACAGGAAGTAAGACATGGCTGCCCCAAAACCCCTGTTTATGAGGGAATAGTTATATGCCTCCTATCCTACCCTCTCCATGCTTCTAGAATGTCACCTCACAGTCCCTCCTCTTAACACCCGCAGCCTACCTCACACCACTGGTCTGTTCATTCTAGAACCTTACCTGACAATGAGATGGTATTAAAAGCACACTGGGCCAGGACCACAGTGTTCTAGATTCTTGCCCTTACCTTAGTCAAGTCCCTAGGACAGTTTTGTTCCTCAGTAGCCTCATCTGTAAAATAGGAGCGATGACTGCCCCTACCTCACCAGTTGTGAGGATGAGACGAGAGCTGTATGGAAGCAAATGATCAGAGATACAAATAAAGGAGTCTAAGGCCGGGCCTGGGAGTGCGCACCTGTAATCCCAGAACCGGGGAGGCTGAAGCAAGAGGTCAAACACATCTGCATCTCCGGGCCTCAGGTTCCCCTCTGCAAAATGAAATGGTTGTACTAAGGATCTAATTCTCAGCCCATGCTATACATTTAAATCTCTTTGGGAGCTTTGAGAAATGCTTGTTTTGTTCTGTTCTGTTTTATTCTGTTCTGTTTTTTTGAGACAGGGTCACATTATGTAGTTCAGGTTGGCCACACCAGGCGTGGAGCTTTGAGAAATTGTAATGTCCAGATTAATCACAGACAAATCAGAATCCCAGGATCAGGCTCAGGTGATTATTGTTTTGTTTCTCCAGTGCCGATGCTAGGTGTCAAAGTTGAAGCCTTGGTCTAGAAATTTGTCTCAACCCAGGCAGTACACTAGAATCAACAAGAGGAGCTGGGTGTGGTGGCACACACCTGTGATCCTAGCACTCAGGAGGCTGAGGCAGGCGGATTGCTTCAAGTTCCAGGCCAGCCTGAGCTACATAGGGAGTTTAAGGACGGGCTGAACTACATATCTGAGACCCTGTCTTACAAAAAAATAAAATAAAAAATAAACAAGAGGGCCTTTTACAAAAAACATCTAGGCCTAATCCCCTGACAAATTGAAGGAGAATTTCTAGAGATGGAGTCTGGGGCATCAGCATTCTTTAAGTATCCCAGATAACCCTCATAAGTGGCCAGGCTAAGAATCCCTAGTTTAGGTCTAAAATGCTCCCTTTACTCTGTTCTATGAACCTGCAATGATTCTAGAATTGCTTCTCACAGGCTGCAGGGGGAAGGGGGTGTGCCAAAGACTGGAAGAATGGCACCTCAGCTGTGTTTATTTGTTTTTGTTTTTCTTCCGGTACCAGAAATCGAACTCATGACCTTGCGCTTGCCAGGCAGGTGCTGTGCCACTGAGCTAAATCCCCAGCCCCCTCAGCTGTGTTTATTTCTGGTCCTTGTTGGCAGCAGTGGGGTGAGTTTCAGACTAGCCACAGCTCTGAGAGCAGGATACACTCCTCTTGCTCTGGGTCGCGGCAGCTGCAGGCCTTCATTCATACTTGCAGAAATCCTTAAGTCCTCTGGGCAGGTGGAGCCCCTCAATAGCCAGCCGGTGCACCACACTCCTCTGGATCACCAGTCGGCACAGAGTCTGCAGGGACGGCACTGTGAAGAGAAGGTTGTCAAAGGCAAACTGAGCTGAAGGGTGGGTCTGAGGCTGAGACCCAGAATGTCTAGGTTCTGGTCCCCACTTTCCCATCACCTTGAGCAAGTCCCTTTTGCTCTCAAGGTCCGCCTGCTTCAGCCTGCTCATATGCTCGAGATAAAGCAACTTTCACACATGGCAGCCCTCTTTCTATTATAATGCAGTACAATTCCTTTCTCCTTCACTTAGCAGCTTCTGAAGGCAGGAAGATCTGATCTGTCTATGTAAACACAGCCCCCAGCCCGGGCCTGGCACAGAGTAGGTTCTAGTTCACGCAATTCATAAAATGTGATCAGAGCTATAAATAAAGCTCAACAGAGCTGTATAAACCAGACTGAAAAGTTTAAAAGCTCTCAATGTGAGGTCTGTAGTGTCTCTGAACTAATCCAAGTTGATGAGCATTTCTCTGGTAAAAGAACACAATTCTTGAGGCCCAACACGGAAAATCAGTTTAGACCCTTCACCCTAGGTTAATATAAAAAGCACTGTCAAAACTAAAAGGGACCTGCAGAGCATTTTAATCAGCTGAGCTGGGTAATCCCCACTCATCTTGTGCAAAATCCTAAGCAGAGGTGTAGTTTTTTTTGTTTGTTTGTTTTTCTTTTTGGTACTGGAAATCAAACTGACAGCGTCACATGTGCCAGGCAGGTGCTGTGCCACTGAGCTATATCCCTGGCCCTTGAGAGGTGTAGCTTGAAGCCAGATTCTCCTACTTCTAAACCAGGCTGGACAGACCAAAGCCTAGCTAGCACGCTGACTAGGGAGTCCTAACAAGTTCTGTCCTCAACCCAGGTGGCAGTACACCTGTAATCCCAGAGACTGAATTCAAGAAAGGGCTGAGGATATAACTCAGGACCAAAGAAAAAAGTTTCTGTCCTCTCACTCTTCAGGAAGGTCACTGCCCTGCGGGTGGAATACCTACAGCCATACTCCAGCTGGACCAGGCGCACGCTTTTGGTGGAGGCAAACACATCCACCACCGCGTAGAGAGGCTGGGCAGCTGGCAGTCCCCTGGCGCTGGGGCCCATGTCCTCGCCATTGATGATGATGTGCATGTCTGCCGTGCCATCTGGGCGCGGGCAGAAGAGGACTCCCAGGCGGCTGCGGCGCGCGGTAGGAGGCAACACATTCAGCTCATAGAGCTGGTCCAGGAGATGGCTGTAGAGCCCCGGCCGGCTTCGGCCCACCAGGCGGTCCCGGGGAATTCGAAACTGCTCAATGCACAGATAAGGTTTCACCAAGAGTGCCGGGGGTCGGCTGGGGGCCGCTGCCTCTGCCTCCGATTGGCCTTCCCGGGGTACACGGTTGTGGTGGCGAGTGATGGCGAAGACCCAGGTGTGGCCCAGGCTGACCAGGTCGGGTAGCGAAAACTCGGGCACAGAAGCCAAACTGGCGGGGTCCAGCGCAGTCAGGCCGAGACGCAGATGCCCGCACCAACCCAGTTCTTTTTCCTCGATCTCGACCAGGAATACCTGGCCCGGGGCCAGCGGGTCTCGACTGAAGCACACACCGTGGGCGAAGCTCTCCACGCGTGTGGCCTGGGTCCCCGAGGGGTCCACGCGAATGTTGGCTCCGTGCACACGGTGGAAGCGCGTGGGAGGGGGCTCCGGGCCCGTGGGCCCCCAGGGAGCGCCCAGCTCCACCGGGTGAGAGGCAGCCGCCATCGCCCGGCCCACAGTGAGGCCAGCAGGCGGCAGGGGCTATTTTGGGCGCGGGCTCAGTGGGTGAACTCTGGGGACCATGTAAGGCATTTCCCACCCGCCACCCCCACGACTGCCATCTCCGAGACTCTGCCCGGGGGTCCTAGCGCCGCTGGCTCAGGGACCCTGTCCAGGACCGGGTCTCCTCTGGTAGCTGAGGAACCTCCGGGTTGACACCTAGATCTCCTGATCGCTGGCGAAGCCACTACTGCAAGCTTTGACCGGGCAAATGACCGCTCCTGCCCCCGGGCCCCCAGAGCGGAACTGAGGAGCCCTCACGTGACAGCGGAGCTCACGTGACTCGGAGTACACATGATTTCAGTCGCCCGGCAGCTCCTGGAGAGCAAAGGACGCTAGGAGCGGAGGTGAGCGAACTCCGGTGCGGGAGGGGATCCCGGAGTCGGGATCGATGGGCAGCGGCGGTGGCCCAGCTGATGGGTGCGGACGCGTGGCTGGGGGTGCCCTGGTGGACTCGCCCAGCTCCTTCCCAGGGACTGCTGTCCCCAAGCGCCGGGGAGCGAGAGAACCGGTAAACAGCAGGCGCCCCCTGCTTCCTTCGCAGATGGCCCGAGCCGCGCTGTCGCCGCTGTTCGTGCTGGTGCTCGCGTCCTGGGTGTCCCGAGGCGCAGCAGCCCCCGACCAAGACGAGATCCAGAGCCTCCCCGGACTGGCCAAGCAGCCGTCCTTCCGTCAGTACTCCGGCTACCTCAGAGCCTCGGACTCCAAGCACTTCCACTACTGGTCTGCGGCGCTGCACCCCGGGGCAGGGTGGGGGGTGGCGCTTACACTGCCCGCCGGGGCGGCGAGGGCAGGGCGGACGGTTCTGAAGACCACTGAGGGCGCCGGGCGGGAGGGAGCCGCTCCATCTGCACCAGCCCTGCCCTGACCCCCACCCCAGGTTTGTGGAGTCCCAGAAAGACCCAAAGAACAGCCCTGTGGTGCTTTGGCTCAACGGAGGTCCGGGCTGCAGCTCCCTGGATGGGTTCCTCACAGAGCACGGGCCCTTCCTGGTAGGTAGAAAGAGGGAAGGGAGGCAGTTCCCCAGGGGAAAGGCTGGGAAAGGGGAGAAAAGTCCGTATGGGTTTCCAAACTGTCTTCCTTCTTCCTGAACCTTGGTGGTCTTTTCATCTGTATCACTGTCTTAACTTGGGGGGAGGGGATGGGGACGTGCCCCATAAGTAAAGGGCCTAGCACCATGGCCCTTTCCCTCCCTCTAGTTGGACTTCCAGACTCAGCCATACCTTCCCTCCTCAGATCCAGCCAGATGGTGTCACTCTGAATTACAACCCTTACTCTTGGAACTTGGTATGGACGGAGCAGTGGGTGCCCTGGGGATACCTGGGCCCCTGGGCGAGGTGAGAAACCCGCTTCAGCTCAGTTCCTCTCCCCTCTAGATCGCCAACATGTTGTACATCGAGTCCCCAGCCGGAGTGGGCTTCTCCTACTCCGATGACAAAGTTTATGCGACCAATGACACTGAGGTGAGTCTGGTGCCTGCCCCCCTACCTCAGCCCCCCCTGGGGTTCTCCACAGGTGGCCTGAGGGGAGGCAGCATGGCCTCAGAATCCATTTTGGGCTCTGCCCTGTGCAATGTGATGTGATCATAGACAAGTCACTTCCTCTTGCACAAACTGGGTTGAGTTAATTTCATTATCTCCAAGGGTCTTTTTAGTTCACGTGGTGAAGTTCCTGGTTCCCTATGTCCTGCCTCCTCCAGGTCGCCCAGAGCAATTTTGAGGCCCTTAAGGATTTCTTCCGCCTCTTTCCGGAGTACAAGAACAACAAACTTTTCCTGACTGGTGAGAGCTATGCTGGCATCTACATCCCCACCCTGGCTGTGCTGGTCATGCAGGACACCAGCATGAACCTCCAGGTACAGGCCAGCTGCAGGAGGGAAGGGAGGCCCTCTGTGACCATAGCCTTGCAGTTAGGAAGGTCAGACAGGTCAACGCTGTCTCCTCACCCCCAGCCCCCTTGGAGAGCTCTTTGCTACCACCTACCCTGTATCTGCTTGTATGGTTCCTACCACAGGAAGCTCATCAGGCAAACTGCCAGCTCTTTCTTTACCTTGAGTGGCCTCTCCCACCTACCACCCACACAATCCACCTGGGCTTCAACTTCCAGATTGCGGAAGGTCTGAGTGTAGGTCAAGGGAGGTTCTTCCTTGTCCTCACCCTCCAGATGACCTGAGCACCCTGGATACTTCACAGGGGCTGGCTGTGGGCAATGGACTCGCCTCTTATGAGCAGAATGACAACTCCCTGGTCTATTTTGCCTACTACCATGGCCTTCTGGGAAACAGGTATGTGAGAGGGTCGGTTGGGCAATCTCTAAGGTGGGGCAGGTCATGAAATGGCAAATCCGTCCTCCTGACACACGATATTCCAGACTTTGCCCTGGTTTACGCACAGATGGGGACTGGAGTCGTCGGAAGGTTTGGTGCTAAATGGCCCAGAATAGATCTCTGAATCTAAAGAGACTAAGGAGGGCTCTCTATAGCTCAGCGGACATGCTGTGGAAGCTAAGATTGGTGACCCATATGCCACTCTCTGTGATGTCTTTCTTTGTCCCCTGGGGTCAGGTCCTGGTGAGCGGCTGAAGGGTAGAGAGGGGACACTTGGCATCTGTACCCAGCATGGGCCTGAGCACTTTCCCTCTGATCTCCTACAGGCTGTGGTCTTTGCTGCAGGCCCACTGCTGCTCTCAGAACAAGTGTAACTTCTATGACAACAAAGACCCAGAATGTGTGACAAATGTGAGATTCCACCTCTGCTTTGCTTAGCCCTGTCATCCCTAACCCTGAGAAGAATCACATCCCCTCCTTGGGGGCTCCTTGTCCATGGGTCATGTCGCTTGCTTTTCTTGTAATACTAGCGAACCCCAGGCCTTCCACATGCTAGACAAGCACTCTACCACTGAGCTACATCCGCAGCCCTTTTTTTTTTTTAAATTTGAGATAGGCTCTCATTGAGTTGCCTGGGATAGCCTCAAATTTGTGATCCTCTTGCCTCAGCCTTTCAGCTAACTGCAAGTACAGGCATGTGCCACAATACCCAGCCCAGTTTGGTTTTTTTTTTTTTTTTGAGATAGGGTCTGAGTATGTAGTTCAGGCTGGCCTCCAACTTGGGGTGATCCTCCTGCTTCAGCCTCCCCAGTGCTGGGATTAGGCGTGCACCATTGTACCACACCCAAACCCCTATTGCTTTTTTTTTTTTGGTACCAGGAATTGAACTCAGGACCTTGCACTTGCTAGGGAGGTGCTTATGCCACTGAGCTATATTTCCCCACCCCATTGCTTTTTTAAAGTGCACCTTTTGGCAATGTTCACTGGGATACCTGGTAAGGAAACTGAGGCCCGTAAGTTTTCAGTCACTTGCTGTAACTCATAATGCTAGGAAATAGTGGTGCTGGGATCTGGACCTAGGTTTGGAAGGGTGTTTCCTGTAAGCATCAGTTTCCCCACCTGTGAAAAAGGTGAAGAAGCATCTTGGGGTAAGTGGGTAAGGCCGTGGCAGGCCATGGATCTGTGAAATGTGCTGGTGTGTTGTTACAGCTTCAGGAAGTGTCCCACATCGTGAGCAACTCTGGCCTCAACATCTACAACCTCTACGCCCCGTGTGCTGGGGGCGTTCCTGGCCATGTTAGGTAGGAGCTGCTCTGTACCCCTTGGGCCAGCCTAGCCCCGTCTAGAGGCCTAGCACCCATCCCCCACTTCACTTTCAGGTATGAGGAGGGCACTACCGTGGTTCAGGATTTTGGCAACATCTTCACTCGCCTGCCACTCAAGCGGACATGGAATCAGGTGTGCACAGGCGTGGGCTTTCTCCCGAGCAGTGGGCAGGGCAGGCAATGAGGACCCTGACCCTGCGGCTTGTCCCTAGGCCCTGCTGCTGCGTTCTGGCAATAAAGTACGAATGGATCCCCCCTGCACCAACACCACAGCCCCCTCTACCTACCTCAACAACCCGTACGTGCGGAAGGCCCTCCACATCCCTGAGCAGCTGCCCCCCTGGGACATGTGCAAGTGAGTTTCTGTGGCCACTCATGCCAGGGCTCAGAGGCATCAGCCCGGTTCCCAGGGACCCTTTGGCTGGGGTTTCTCCAGTGGGCAGCGTGGGCCTTCAGGGCATGGAAATTAGCTACTGTGCAGGACGTTGAAGGTCCCTAACCTCCAAATCGAGTGACTCACAGCCAGTTCACTCATCAGTGGCCACCGTGGTTGGTAGTATCAATTGCTCTTCTGACATTTAGTGGGTGGACGTGAGCCCCACTCCAGTGCCTTCCCATCTGCAGCTAAAAGGGTTGGTGCCTGGCACAGGGCAGCGTACTGGGTCTGCTGTGCCAATCAGTGCCCACGCTGTACACTCTTGTTATGTGTTGTGACCGTCACACCTGCTGGCTCCTAGCACTCAGTGCCACTTGTGTTCCGTCACCGTAACAACCAGAAGTCCCGTATGTTTCTGACTGAGGGCGGGCTGAGGGCTTCTGAATGCCACCCCCATCCAGGCAAGTCCGAGAGAAGTGACATACCTGAAAACCCAGCTGTCTGCTTCCTAGGTTGGAGGTTGGGAGAGGAAAAAAGATCTGATCTCATGGCTTTTTTTCCCCTCCTCTGCTGTCTGGTCTTCCTGGGCCCCGTGCTCCACGCAGCTTCCTGGTGAATTTACAATATCGCCGCCTCTACCAAAACATGAATTCACAGTACCTGAAGCTGCTCAACTCACAGGTGTGTGTGGACAGCAAGCTGGGGGCCCCTTAAAGCTCCCTTTAAGCTCCCTTTGGGACTGGAGAGGCTCAGCCTCAAGAGGTAAAGTCCTTTGCCCAAGGTTCTGTGGGTGATAGGGTCAGGATTTGAACCTGAGTTTGTCTCTACTTCATGCTACTCTCCGTAGGTCAAGGGGTCTTTGTGGTCCCTTAGAGTAGGAAGAGCTACTTGGGTCATGTCACAATAAGGCAAATAAAGGGTTGGGGTAGAAGGGAGCCTTGCTCAAGGTTACGTAAGGCCGCCAGCAAGTCTTTTTCTTAAGTCTCTTTAACTGCAAGTTCTCAGTAAAATGGGACTTACGGTACATACCTTCATGGTAAAATGTTTCCTTAGCACTCACTGGATAAGTAATAAATACCCACCCCAAGAAGTTCCCAGGACAACTATTTAGCTGGGCCC